TCTGAGGACGCCTTCTCCTGCGTTGTCTGCTTCTGCTCAGTCAAAGGCAAGCAGTAAAGTCAGTGCTGGCTTAGGTAAGCGAGTGCGCGTCAAAGGCCCCGCACCGCCCAGCAGCTTCAGCATGGCCCGCGCAGAAAGCGCTGCGAGAAAGAACAAGGTCAAACGAAGCCATGCGGGTAGTGGAACGGAGAGCGATGGGAACGATGCATCTGCATCCGAATCAGAAGATCTGCGACACAGCCATAGCAATTCCTCGTTGGGGATGAGCATCGGAAGACCAATGTCTCGTGGCAGCATCTCGTCCGCGCGCACTTCATTCTCCCTTGGTCGCGACGCGGACACCGCTTCAATCTCGGGTGCCAGCGTGCTCAGCTCGGCAAGCACGATCAGAGCCCCGTTGGCGCTCGGAGATGTGTCGCCTGCGTTCTTTGAAGCTACGCTCGAGTACCTCTACACGGCAGAGGAGAGCATGGTAGAAGCTTTTGAATTCCTCTTCGAAGACCGGCCGGCTCTGGCAGGGAAAGCGGAAGAACGACTGGAAAAGCTGCGCCAAGACCTCGTATTCATGTGGCGAAGCAGGCTCTACTCTGATGTTCGCATCATGCTAGACGATGCGTCTGGTGGTGGAGCTGTCGATGCACCATTGCAGGTGCGCACAATACCAGACAACGCTTCTGCTTATTCCATCGCAGCAACGGTCACAGATGCAGGGCATGGTGACGAGGAAGGTCAAGGCGGAGAAGGTGGACCGACATTTTTCAGCACACATCGCATGATGCTTGTGTCTCGCAGTCCCTACTTCGCCGCCCAACTGCTCGGTCCGTACGCGGACTCTCACACCCCGGTTCTCCGCTTGCCTAGCCCGCCTTTCACACCAGCGAGTTTGCACTTCACCCTCGGCTTTCTCTACACTGGGACTTTGTTCTTCTCGAATCGGACCTTCGACCTAGCCACTGCGTTCCAGCTCTGGAGATCCGGCGCGTACCTGCAAATGGACACGCTCCAATCTCTGATATCATCTTTGATCGCTGCCGATTTCTGCCACAATTTCGATTGCTCGCCACCCTGCAAAACATGCACAAAGCGAGTTCCTCGTGTGCTCGCATTCGCTTCTGCACCTGATGTTGGAGATCTACACTTGCGGGACAGTGCACGTAGAGCTGTCAGCGGTCCGCATTTTGGCTCTTACTGGTTCAAGGATGTTGGGTCTTTGGACTACGCTTCACGCGGCGCTCTAGTGGCGGACGTTTGCCAGCGCATCGAGGCGCATCCCCCTGCCGCTCTAGCTGCTCTTGGGCAGCTCGTCAACATAAGCACGCGCATAGATCGTGAGCGATCCAGCGCATGGGTAGACGCGCTGCGGTGGATGTGCGAGAGCGTAGAATCGCACATCTGTGCGATGTTCGAGCCTCATATTGCTACCATTGTCGCAAGCGAGGAATGGTGGGCACTTTTGGACGGAGTGGGATTTGCGTCGGATGTGCTCGAAAAGGCTATGCTACTTCTCATGGATGGTCTCAACGAGAAGCGCGCACCCATGACGTACCAAATCATTGTAGGTAGCGTCCTTTTGAGAGAAGAAGGACCGCCGCCCGAAGGCACGTCGAAGCAGCTTGTTGAAGACGCGCGAGATGGCATTGTTCGCTATCTACGCAAACGATGGATCAACGTAAGAGCTCTATCGGGATTCGATGTAATTGAGAATTGGGCATTGAAGGAGCTCAGTCATGAGCTGGATGTTCCCGTCGATGATCTACTTGCACCAAAGGTTACCAAAGCCGCAGAGCCAGCTCGTACCCGCACGGGACTGCGCGCAGCTTCTACAAGCAAGAAGCAAGCCCCGGAGGAGAGCGAGCGTGTGGGACCAATACACATGCGTGCCGAGGCCATGAACAGAGCCGCGGCTCGAAAGTCTGCAGGCTCGGCTCAGCAAACGAGCACCAGTGGCGCAGCCACAGGAGCAGTCAGGCCACCTCGCGCAGCCGCAGCCTCATCCGTCATGTCCCGTCCAAGAGGATCCTTCGCACCTTCATCGGTCTCGTCCACAGCGTCGCCCCTTTCACGAGCTTCATCGCCGAGTAGCGTCTCTCGCGCCGCGTCGCCGTCGAATGCTAGCACGCAAGCTAGGAGCTCCGTGCGGTCAAGCGGAAGCAGCGTTGCTAGCGCTTCGAGGCCGACACCTGCCCGCACGACCTCAGCTGCTGGATCTCGGTCCGCAGATGTGACTACACCTTCAACCGCACGACTTGCAGCTCCCTCACAAGTCAGAAGAGCTCCGTCTGTCGCTTCACTTGCCTCAGCATCTTCATCTGTCGTCGAATCGCCACGCACGCCGACGAGTTTGGCTGGGAATGCGGTCAGAACGCATACCAGGACCACGAATGGCTCCGCACGGAATCGTCTCGACAGCAATGCAAGCGTTCTCTCGAATCAATCCACATCAGCTGCGAAATCTCGAACGCCTACAGCGCCGCATGCTCTGGGCGCTGGTACCGCGAGCAACTCTAATTCCCTGCGTCCTGAAAGCGCCCCTCAAAATACCCCGCCGAGGCCCACTCGCACATCGTCGCAAGCAATGTCGCCCGCTACATCTCAACGAACACCCACTGCTAGTCTGCGGTCTGTTCGAAGCAGCACGAGCCTGGCGGCCGATGCTGCGCCAAACACGCCGCGAGCGAGTGGACGACCTGCAGACAGACACGCTCCTTCTGCTGCAGGATCTTCCCCATCTAAAGCAACGGCGGCTGCTGACGTCAGAAGACACACGTTCTTGAAGGCTACACCCAAGCCGGCGCAGGCAAACTTGGCTGCTACTAAAGCTGGTGCAAGTGGGACCAGTGGAACGCGGCAAAGGCTTTCAAGCACGGCGTCCACCGCCTCGTCTGTCGTGTCAGCAGCTGCCGGTGCCCCTGCAAAGTCGCCTCGAAAGGCTACATCCACTGCAAGCTTAGCCTCCGTCGCGGGACATAGCGGTGGCGTCCAGCGAGCCGCAGCTGTTCCATCTGCATCCCGCGCCCGCAAAACTTCAGCTCAGCCTGGTGCGCCGGCAGCCCAAGTTTCGCGTCAGCCACTCACTACAACGAGCGGCCTCAACATGACGGAAACCATATCGAGACCTGTCGAAAAGTCTTCGCCTACATCTAGTCGCTCATTAGCAGCAACCGATCTTGTGAGCCTTGCGCTCAATGGTATCAGCCTTACCCATGGTATACCTTGCGTCGTTTCGCCTTCTGTTGGCGCTGGTAATGCGCAAAAGCGCGCCTTACGCTTCCGAGCTGCGGTCAAGTACATCGGCCCTCTAGAAGGCCGATCAGGCGCTTGGGTGGGCGTGGAAGTCCCAACACCGCTACCTCAAGGTCTTGAGAGCTTGTCTAGGAATCTTAACGACGGCATCTTTTCTGGCAAGCAGTACTTCGAACTCGGACAGCGGCCGCTGCATGCTGAAACGCAACCTGCCGTCGTTCTACCCGCAAGAGAGGCGCGACAGCTCAGAATAGCGCAAATTGTTGGGGAAAGGCACGCGCAGAGGCTGGGCGAGAATGTTCCGCCGCAAGCGCGAATTGCAAGCGGAGTCAAATCGGGTACGCTCTCGAAGGAACCCGTCAGCGCGCAACCGGGCAACACTGCCGGGCTATTCTTGCGACCTGCCGAGGTGTTGTGGGTCGTGACCTAAAGCGATGCTTGACTGCCCGCCCCACTACATTGCCTACTCCCATCATTCTTCACTTTCACTTCCCCAGCCCTCACACATATACCTCGACAGCTTGAAGCGTTCCTGCATTACAGCGACCTTTGCTCTTCTACCATAGTGCATGAAGCCCGACTCTCATTCCCTTTGCTTCCACCGAATCATTGCGCTGTGCCTGAAGGTCGTGATCTGGTTCAATTCGTTTGCAGTGCAAAGAAAGACTGGTGCTAGCGCATTCTTTGCAGCTTTTTTTTGGAGACAGTGGCCTCGACTTTGCCCTTCACAATGCAATGCAACATTTCTATGCATATTACAAGCGCAAAGAGTAATGTGAAAGAGATGAATTAGCGACATGGAAGAGGACAGCTGGAAAGGTTGAGAATCGGACGACATGGAGGCTGAGCCGGGCGAGGCTGGGGCCGCTTGCAGAGCAAAAGTGTGACTCCGCTGTGATTCGGTGTATTCTCGGCCTTTGGACCTATAAGTGCGGGTTACTCGTTGCCCTTCGTGAACGGTCTCCAAGGCTTGAGAGGTTCCTCGCTCTTGGTGTCCAAAGCATTCGTGCCCGAACGAGGGCCGCCAAGAGCAGTCTTGTCCGCCTTCTTGGCCGTCTTTCCCGCTTTGCGGGAGAAAGAGGAAGATGAGGCTGCGTCGTACAATGGCCCTGTTCTTGTGTGGTCCGAGCTTGGAAAAGAGGGCGGGGAGAGGACGGGTGTGCCGAACGGATTTGGACCCGCACTATCGGTTGGCACAGCATCCGGTGCGGAGCTTGAGCTGAGCGACGCGCCGGATGAGGTGTACGAGGACTGGGCAGCAGTCGGTAGTGGGCCATGCTGAGCAGCGCTGTTGTTCAAAGTACTACTGCCTCCATATCCGTGTCCTTCCAAAGCATCCGAAGGCGAAATCGCGTGATTTGAATGAGAGCTGAGGGCTTCCATCCACGCTTCTTCTCTCCTCATTGCTGCCGCGCTGCGCGAAGACGCCACCCCAGGCAACCACCCAGGCAACAGGCTCTTGCCAACACTTGGACGAGTGCGCATGGCCAGGCCAACCCGTCTGGTCTTGTTCAGTACCCGGTTTCCGAACGATCCCACGACGACAGCAGAGATGAAAGCTACAGAGCTGGTGGCGTAGAAAGCAAATGGGTGTTCCTCGTACCCGCTCATCAAATTCATGCCAAACAAGCCCGCCCACAACGTCCCGACGCTAATGCCGAGCATTCCGATGGATGTCCTCAAATCCAGAGTGAGCAGCTGATTGCGATTATTGTCGAGAATCAAGTCGATAATCTCCCTCGTGCCGTCGATGTTGCTCGACATGGCCTCGCTCTGCGCTATCAATTCTTCCAGCTGATGGTCAAAGGACTCGAGCAGGAGCTGCAGCTCAAGGTGTTCGCCCGTGTTCCGGCGAGAGTGGGTGAGGTACATAGCCTCCATGTCTTCATCCTCCTCGAGTACATCCATAATGCATCTCTCCGAGCCTCTGCACCTCGCTAGAAACGCTCGGAGCTTTCGAGTGTAGAGAAGCAGACTGAGCAGCTTTTCCCTGTCGATGTCTTCTTCCAGCGCCTCGAGCAGGTCTGTGATAAGATTCCGAAGTACGCCGAGTTCAGAAGAGAGCGCAGAGAGCACGGATGAGAGGATTGACTCGAGCGCTCTGAATTCGTAAGGAAGCGTGGAGTGAGGAGGCTGCAGAGACAAATTGTGCTGGAGCGCATAGATGAAGGCACTGTGTAGCGCGGTGTCTGTCGAGCCGTAGCTGCGCAGAGCAGGACGCGGTAGCGATCAGGCGTGAGTGAGCATGCCAAGCGAATCTACACTGGCGCAATCCCGCAGAGACCGACACGGGCTTCACATCCGCGGCTATCTTTCGCGGGCACCACCAACGCTTGCCTGCTCACCTATCAAAGAGCAGCACCTGATCCTTCTTGACGAGCGCCCTGATGTGGAGGATGTTCACCAAGAACGCCTCCCCTCTGACCAAGATGGTGGGCACCACGTTGGGTACTCGGCTATCCACCTTTCTGAGGTCTCTAGCTTCCAGCTTGTGCTGAGCGCAGAGGGAAGCTCTGGAGAAAGATCCTGACACAACCTTTACGCTTCCCTTGGCGTCCAGGATGGTGCATCGCAAGGGCAAGGGCTGAGGTAAGGAGGCAGATGCCAGAGGCGCATCCCTTTGCCTGGAATTCGTGGAGAAGAGTGCCTTGTGCGCTGGGTGGAGCAGCCTCGACACAGACTCATGACGGTATTGACGACCCAACGTGCTTTGGCTATTGGAGGTGATGGATTTTTCCAACGGCACGAGTCGAGGGTCAGCCCTTGCCTTTCGCGCCTCTTTGAGTGGCTGATCTGTCAAGCTCCAAGGAGAGTAAAGTGCACCTTGTTTTGCTGTCTCTCTTCTCTGACACCTCGCGGAGAACTCGAAGCTAGTTGTTGCAGAGCTTGTAGCAGTCATCTGCTTCCCTCTATCGTTCTTCCTGCTGTCTCGCCTTCCGCTGAACGAGCGCAGCGCAAGAGCGTCCGCGCAAGGCAGCCCTTCTCGTGACGTGAAGCCTTGGGCATGGCGATCGATTGCGCTGTTCGCATACAAGCGAGGGGCCATGACATAGCTCGCAACCCTTTGAATTTGCGAGTTGCTAGGCCGGCAACGACATTGAACGATGTGAGTGACTGCGGGCCGATAGCTGGTGCTGGCTGTGGGAATGTAGCTCCGAGCAAAGGTCGTTGGAGTCGCAGAGCGCGCCAGGGGCGCGATGGAAGCCATCGGAGGGAGGGGAGGGTAGAGGGTGGCAGCAGCTGCAAACGACGGGACCGACCGCGAGTGGGGAAGCTCGATGGTGCTCAGCAAGCCGAATATCTACGAGTGTTGATGTGGCACGCAGGCCTTCTGAGTCATCGCGGCCAGAAGCTAATGATGAGCAGGAGGTTTGGTGAGCGTGCAATCATCAGTCCGATGCAAAGCGTGCCGTGCTGGAGTGCTGCATGGAGGATTAAATTCGCTCTTCGCCGTGGCACGTGCCTGCTCGTCGCGGGCGCCCTCCACCCATCGCAGCGGGGAAGGTTGGTAAAATCCAAAGATCCAAATTGAATTCTTGATCGGCGTGCTCTCCCGCACGAAAGGTGCCGATGCACCGAGAGCGTCACGTGCATCGATGTGAGACGCGGCTGTGCATGCTCCCATCAATCATTCAAAGTCACATCGATGCGCGGCATTGATGTCGACGAGCTGGATTTGCGCTGGTGCGAAAGCCCTGAGTGCGACCTCTTTCACTTTCAGACACATGCACTGTACGCACCGGCATGTACGCACCGCCATCATCATCCGCTTCTTGCGTCGTTCAACAGCCGCGGCGGCGATCGTGAGCTTGCCCCGAGAGTAGCCGAGAGGGCCTCTCTGCCGGAAGGTGTTCTGACGCCGGCGCACAAAGTCATCGAGGGTCGCTGAGCGAGGGGTGAAGGCTCTAGGCAGGGTCGGCATCCTGCTACAGCGTACCGTGGCGACGCCTACTAGATCTTACAGGACTCGTCCTCACTTGCTCTCGTGAATCAAATCATCCGTTGCGCAATCTCTTCGTGCAACCACATTTTTGCACATCGAGGTGTACGTCAACCCATCAACAGACGCACGCATACACCAACGCTTTCCCTGCAGCCATCACTGAGCTATTCATCTAAGCTTGCCTGCCTAGCATGATGACTCCGATCAAGCCGCTGGCCCCTGCGGAGCAAGCCACGGTGCAGACGAGCGTCAACACCACCATCGCCGCAAGCAGTGCGAGTCCAGTGGCTATGCCAGCCCTCAGCTCCGCGGCAACGTCTGTCCCTCCATCTCCTCAAGTGCACCTCATCGTCCTCGCACCATCCGCTGCGTTGCCAAGCGAGAAGTTCGAACTCGAATCGTCTGAACTCAGGCCGATCCTGACGTCAGTATTTGGACCCATCGCACAGCAGCTAAGATCTTTGCATCCGACTGCCAAGCTGTTGTACAGCATTGTACGCTATCCTCGTGTCCCGAAGAGCGATCCAGGCTCCTCTCGCACCGCTCTCGACGTTGCTCAACTTGACGCAGAGTGGCAGTCGGACTCTGGCTATGGCGATTCACCTTCGCCTGGACAAGCCTCTCGTCGCGTGGAAACGCGTCAGTGGAAGGAGTGGACACCCAATTCAAATCAAGTCGAGCCTCTGCAGGCCAAGGACCTTGCTCAGCGGTTCGATGAGGGCGCCGAACCATCTGGTCAGGCTTGGAACGCGGAGTTAAACGCTTTGCTGCTGGGAGACAGCGATAAGCTTGGACCTTCTGACGCGCTATGGGGGCTTGTGCGAGTGCTAGAGGTGAGTGGGGAAAATGTTGCCAGCTTTACACTGCGCACTGACGTCTGCCGTGCAAACTTTGGACACAGCACTTCAAGGAGGCTGATCCAACCGGCACGCTCGCAAACAAGACCATCAGCCTCTTCCCACCAACCGGCAGAGTAGCTGCTAGACATGTTCTGCATCTTTGCGGAGCAGACAATTCCCTGCATATCCAAGGCTCGCTACCTCGGCCTGGAAGATCCGCATCGGAGGACTGGACCCTGGCGACTGTCACTGAAAATCTCAGAAGCCTGAAGGTGCAATTTTCCACAATCGTAGTTCCAGCAAGCAGGGACGCAGCCAAGCGAGGAGAGTGCGACGCTGAGCGTCTGCATGCTTCTCTTGCCCCGACGCGACCTGATGGGAGCGTCGACGAAGACCAAGATTGCTCGGGATCCGAAGCGCACTCGCTACTTGGAGCGGGCTTGTCCAAAGGTCTGATACTCATGCTCAGAGGCCTGGCTGTAAGGAGCCCCGCATCGCGCAAGAGATCCCGTTCGCGAGCATCCCCCGAGTCAGTGCGTTCGGATCAGGCCAAGCGGCTCAAGAGTGCTGTGGCTCCTACCGCGGGTTCCGGAGCATCAACGGGACAGCCAGATGGTGGTGCACCTCAGGTAGCAGGCACGAACACGACGTCCATGAATGCGGCCATGATTCAACAAGCTGCTGCTGCTGCCGCTGCCCAGGCTGCCGCTCTCATTCCGGCGCACTTACCTGATGCACACAAGGCCATACTTCGGTCTGCTCTCACCAGACTCATGTTTGTTCAACAGCAGCAAGCGATGATGATCAGGAATCTTACCATCACTCAAAGAGCTGACGCTGCTACGTCTAGCAAGGAGCGCCAGATGGCACTCGAGCGACTGAGGGCAAAATGTGAGTCTCATTGGATACTTCCTTACTTTTGTCAAGCACGCACTGACGAGGGTATTTCCCCTTGACAGTGGTCGCTGCGCATGAAGCTATAACTGCGCAGTCGAAGGCTCTGGGATCCGGTGGCGGTCCACCTGACGTACAAAAGGCTCTCGCTGCGTTGGTACACATCTCGCAGGAAGCCGAGTCCATGGGAGTGCACCTGGGATTGAGCAAGCAGGTCTTGGCGGTCGCTGCAAAAGTCGCGAGCGGGCAGAATGCTCCCAGCGCAAATGGAACTGCTCTCGCAGCTGCTCCTCCTCAACAGCTTGCTCAGGCATCTGTCACCGCCCCAGCTCAGACAAGAAACGAGGCCAGCGCCAAGTTTGGGCAGCCAGGATCTGACTCTGCATTACGAGTTGCTCCTCCACCTGGCTTTTTGCAAGCCACAGGCAATGCCACTGCTGCACCAGCCCAAGCTAGCTCAAGTCGTCCGACGCCTTACTGGTCCGGTCCGATTGTATGGAGCGTCAACGATCCAAACAATCCAGGGATGAAGCGCGAAATCGCTTCATTCGTCAGCGCGTCTGCAAATTCTCGTACAGCCAAGGAGAATCTCAACTTACCTTGGCCTGCCAGACTCAACCTGGGTAGCATGACGCCACTGGACATGCCAGCGCTGCAAGCTTATGTCGGGACCAAGCAGACGCCCGCTGTGCTTTTTACGCCTCGACCACCAGGCCAGACCAGCCCTGGCGAACCGGACGTGCCTGCTCACAACGTCAAAGCGTACGAAATGCTCGCTAGTACCTTGCGAGATCGCAAATGCTGCGCTCTGATCCCTCATGGCGCGCCTGGAGCTGGCATTGTGCTTGTGCCTATGCCCACCGTAGCTGCTCAGATGACGAGATTGTTGGGGTTGGTCTTCAAGGAAGCAGCACCGCTACAAGCTCTGGCAAGCGCCGCTTCGACGGGAGGCGCGAAGCAGGTCGGCACCCAAGTATCTGGTCGACCGTTCGCCGATCCCTCCTTGGAAGCAAATCGGCCGCCACTGATGCCAATGGCTGGGCAGTCTGGTCATCCGTCTGGCCAGTTACCGCCGGTACAGCAGCAGCCGACTCAGGCAACGGGCTCGCGACCATCAGAGGCACCGCCTTCCAATTCATCGCAACCTGGTCCTGGTGCGGGCAACCAGTCAGTGCCGCCTGCACAGGGACACGGGCAAGGTCCAACGCCAGCTCAAGCGCTGTTCCAACCACCGCCACCGCCGCCCAATCAGGCGCCAAGGCCCGCAGCAATCTCCACCACTCAGGCGCATCAGCACGGTCCACGGCCGCCTGCTGCGCCTACGAGCGACGCTCCCAATGCCTTGCAAGCTCAACAAGCTCAAATGTTTGTTCAGCGTCAGATCGCACAGCTTCAGCAAGCTCGACTCCAGCAACAACAGCAGCAGCGTGTAGATGGCCTGCCTGCTCCTCACAATGGTGGGGCGCAACAGCACCAGCAGCAGCAGCCGCAGCAGATGGGACAAATACCTGCTTCTATACCGCAAATGGTTCAATTCCTTCAGCAGCAAGTGGCCTCGCAGCAGGGCGCGCAGCCTCAGCAGCCGCCCAATATTGGCCAATTCAGCATGCCACCCAGTAACTTCCCGACTCAGCCAAATTGGAATTTCGGTGGCAACCAAAATCTTGGCCAGGTGCAAGAGCATAGCCAGCCCAGCCACATGGGAAGCGTCCACGCCGCGCCCATGTCGGGCGGTTTCAACCTTCCCAACACATTCGCAGCGTCTAGCTACGGTCAACCCAGTCAGCAAGGCGCACCGGGAAAGATCCCCTGGAACTCAAATGTAGTGACGGGTGGGCAAAGCAACGCAGGAGGCGTGACTCCTGCAGACGTAGCAGCTCTGGCTGCCCAGCTGGGTCTGAGCCACGCTGCGTTCGGCGCTGGCAACCAGGGCAACAATCCGGGCGTCTCGATGCCTCCTCAACGAGAGCCCCAACAACAGCAGCCCTTCGCTGGAACGCAGTTCCCTTACAAGACTCAAGCTGGCCCTCAGGGTATGCAAACGTCGCAGCAGCAGCCAACCGGCATGTGGCCTGGTTTCAGTCAGCAACCCCAGCAGCAGCAACATTCGGCAGCTTCCTTTGCCAACGTTGGACTAACGAATGAAATGTTGCAACGCATGCTTGGTGGAGCTCAATAGGCGGCTTGACGACTCCGACAAAAAGCGTCCACTTGTATCTGCGACTCGTAGTCTGGCTTGTTCATGAGTGCCTACATCACCTGTCCACATTTATCCATCGCCACTCGCCCGCTTCGCGCGCCGCCGGATGCTTATGTCAACATGTACTTGTAGCAACACCGCCTTCCTTCTCAATCAAATTGGCCGCATCACGCAGCCACTTGCAGCCACACCAAGTGGGACGTGGCGTGCCTCTTGATCTGTGAAAAGCTATAGCCCGCGGAGCTTTGCACCGCAACGACGAGCAGTCAACTCTTTACATGTACCTAGACGCGTCGTTGGGCATCGTATCTGGGGTCAATCTAAGCCACCAAGATACATGACAGGTGGTCTTGCCGGTGGCTTTGACAAGAGGCCTGAGACCTGGGAGTCGAAAGGCTCAATGTGGCTTGCTGAACGCCGCACGCAGAGGCGAGACTTCAGCGAGCATGAAACGGGCAAAAGAGCGAACGTGACCGTGGAGGCAGACGCGTTAATTGCCTTTGGAGTGCGTGGGCATTGTGGCTTCGACGGGCACAGTCACGAGTCTGAGTATGCTCTGACCGTCGTCAAAGAAAGGATCCTGCCATGGGACACTAGGAGTGTCGCATCTTGATCATTTGGCATCCTTTTGGCAAATGTCGGAGAAGGTGCAGATGACAGAAGGTTCCGTCAGGCGGGGCTTGTCCATCTGTGTCACTGCGCGCTGACCCGTGCTTTGACGGAGGTTTATCGCGCCACGATCGGGGGAGGTGTGAGCTGGTTTGTCACGCCATCGACCATCAGTCAACAGCACACAGCACTCCGACTTTCGACTACCTGCAAAGAAGGCGGGCGATTCACGTGCCTCGCATGAGCATTGCGAAGCATTCCTTGGGCCAAGACTGGGTCAGACAGCAACGCGTTGGCAGCGTCTTTCACGATCAAAAGCTTGTCGTTGGCGAGGAGCGAGTGTGTGTTACCGACTCTGCGCTCTGTCCTGACCATGGAATATAGCTCGGTGCGCAATCTTCTATGGCTTATGGCATGGATGTGCGGCCAGCAAATCCGCCACCGGCGACGAGATCACAAATAGTGGGTCATCACACGTCGCGTCGACGGCGATGCCTGTGCGCTCAGCCTGCTCTAACACGCAAAGTGCTACACATAGACCCCAGCATCTCCTCAAAGCCCTGCGTGCAAGAGCGCGACTCTTGACGTTCTTCGCTGAGTTTAGGAATAGCGAGATTCATGGTCCGGTCCAGACTTGATCGTGAGGACTGGAACGCCACGAGAAACCGACGGCTGTCAACACTGAGACATGGCTTGGCCGCGCGTACCGCCGCCACTCAAAGCCGCGGGTCCATGACGCTGCGAGCTAAGCCACTCGGAGGTCATGATGCACAACGCAAAGTATCGTAAATGCTGATGCTCACAAGGAGCTCGTTCGAGCCGGAGTGTGGAACATCGAATGTAGAATGAGGTCGCTCGATGAGGGAGGAGACTGGCCCATATAGCTCTCTAGCCTGTGCTTAGGTGCAAAGCTTCGAGACCAATCCGATTATGAACTCTACAACCCGCCAAGGACTGGCAATAAAAACAGCTTTCAAGGTCGACCTCCATGTTGAGTTGAGCCGCGCTTACATGAACCACTCACTACACTCACTCACGACTGACTGTACTCTATACTGACTGCTACTCTGTGTCTGGGTCCAAATACCGCACAGACAGCGGAAATGACCACTCGGGTGACGACTGTTGACACAGGGTCAACCTGTCGAAACTCAGTCAACTCCGATTTTGGTGCCACGTGGAACTGTGTGGACCGCTCGCAGGAGAATACCCTCACAATCCAGCCCGCGTTCTGATTGACCGTAGACCGGTGAGATGTGAGAAGTGTGTGATCTGCACAGGGCGGCCGCCATGATGACGACTCACAGCAGTCAGTCTGAGATTCATCACTTTTGTAAACGTGCGGACGGAAGCACATCAGATGGAACTAAGATTCACATCCCTATTTGCCTCCGGCGCCAACGCCAAATTAGTGAATCTGCGAAGGTGAGGGGGGAGGTCTCACACGGCTTCTTGGTTCTGCGGCGAGACAAACTACACCTGCAGTGCGCGGCAATCTTCGAGACGAACGGTGAAACGCGCAAAAGTTTCAGGACGTCATCGGTTGCTGCTGCTGCGTGGGGGCCTAGCCAGGAGTCGGAGCTGGCTTGGCCTGCGTAGACGTATCTGCACAGCGAGCAACTTCGCATGGCGTGCTGCTCAGGAAAACCTCTGCTGCATTCACATCCGCATTGCATGCTGCAACTGCAGAAGCATGCAGGCAAAAAGGGGTACAGGCTGCGCGGGCAAAAAGCGAGCACAGCTAATGATCGGGCAGCGCTCCGCTGCCTGGCTGAGCGACCTGATTGGCATCGGAGCACTACTGGAACGAAATACGACAGTCGTTGAGTTCGCAAGGGTCGCTCTTGCTGCCACGAGTGTTGAATGGGTGCTGACTCGCGGTTGTATGTCCAGTGACGATCACCGACGAATTAGGAAATTCAAGGAGAGAGGAGTAAGAGAGGATGCGCACAATCTTCAATGCGTTGGTGATCCTCGAACGTAGCTTCCTCACCTGAAAAGCCATCCACTTCGTTACTGAAGAAGAAGCGGACAGCGAGGTCTGCACAGCCGAGGACGGGAACCCCCTGCTTTTTCCTTTGTGGGAACCGCGGCAGACTACGAGCCACGACGGTGGAATCAGACTTAAGTTACTTTCAGGCACAACCGTGCGGTACGGCTGTCAGCGTCCCGGCCTCCATGCATGACTTCACCTACTCGCCGCTGTCTTCCAATTTTCGTTGCCCGCAGTGGACAGTTGCTTGCGAAGCGCGTTGTCTGCTGAGGCTAAAGCGGATCATCTCATGATCTCGTGAATGTGAATGAATCTGTGTGCTCAAGACCGTGAGTGCGCACATGTACGTCGCGACGTTAAACGAATACATCACATCACCGTACACTAGACTACAGTAGTCATACTTATCAAACTACTGCATGAATCGCTTCGATGGCCGCCGATCGACGGGGTGCTGGCAGCGGAAAGTCGTTAGCGTCGAAGAGCAACGGGGTGTTTACCATAGTTCGAGACTACAGGCACGAGTTGATCTTGTCTGATCCCTCTATCGCCCACTGCTTCGTGACTCGTGACGTTCACACTGGCTACAGTAGGAGACCCTGGACCCGGTGGAAGTTGACGTCTAGCGTTGTCAGTGTACCCCGACGGCTCAGCTGGCTCCACGACATCCTTGCCGGCGCTAATATCGAATTCAGGCCAAGGCGAGATCGCGAGTCCGAATTTGAATAATGTACAGCAGGCCAGGCCAGAATTGGGGTGCTTGCTGTTTGTTCGGTGGCAGCGCATCCCAATGCACATTGTTTTCAGACCGTCGCAAGAAGCCAATCACGAATCACGAATGACTTGGAGCCTGCAAACCATTTGTCGCGGGAAAACTTGTGCGTCAGCTCGCAGCTCGCGCTGAACTTCTTTACAAGGTCGCGTGACAAGATCTTGGAGACGCACACACTCATCAAGCGCCTTAGTCTCTTTCAAGGAGTGCACGAGGTCGCAGATACGCTGGACTCATTCGCAGATGCTACGTCTTTCATGTATGCGCCAAAGCGAAGCAAAGCCAGTCGGGAAATGCTCTCACAGTCACGAAGGTAGCGGAAAAGGGTGACAGTTCGTGACTGCAAGCGACTAACTTCGTTGCTTCACAGTCACTCTGCTGTGCGCTTGAGGTGAATTCACTACGACACACGGGCTTCGCTGCATGGCCGCTCATTTGCTTCCGTTCTGATCATAGCCTTCCCCGCAATCATCATGCGCGGCTTGGGAACCGATTTGCATCACTTACGTAGCAGAATGGGTCAAAAGCAAAAGGCAAGCGCAGTGCTACGAATGCTTCGGACTGCCATTGGCCACATGCCTCAGTGTCGGTGTTCATTGTTATCGAGCGTATCGTGATGTGCGCCGCGAGGAGTCGACCTGTTTCTGATGACAAGTGTCCGGTGGCTTTCCCTTAGTCTAGCAACGGAGAATCAGGAAGCGTCGAAGGGCGAGAAAGCGGTGAGTATGTGCTTGCGTAGTTCGAAAAAGGCCGGATAGGTACGAGATCTGTGGTCAGTGTGCTGCGTCCCTTCGACTCGGAGAGCAACGCTGCGCCTATACTGTTCAAAGCTCGGCCCTCACTTTCACCGTTTTGCGCCACTGGTCAAGAGACCGCAAAGTCCAATCAAAAAATCCGTGCGTGACCTCGATAAGTCTACTGGCTATCATAACGCATATCGCCGAATGCAGGCTGAATGACGCTTGAAATGATGCACAGGCAAAGGATCTTTGAATCGGCGGCCTCGGCGAGTCGGTGCATACAGTACACAATTTTTGAGGTCGCCAGAGCAGGCCCTCAAAGGCAAGCCTGAAGGGGTTACAGCTACCTGCTCTGCGAGGATGCAAGCAGCGGCCTCCGTCATTGCGGTTCTCAAGCGCCACATCAAGCACAGCAAGTCACGACTGATACCCAGACGCGACTGTCACGAATGCTGCACGTCACACAGGGGCGTTTCAGAGCTCAAGAACTTGAAGGATTCCGCCAGAGCAAGAATCAAACATTATGAAAACGGTTACGCCGCCACTATGGCCTTCCAGCGTTATCCAAGAACGGCAGTCGCGATTAGAGATCTGCGCCAAATTGTACATGTATGTTGTGTCTGCTCGACGTTCTTCAAAGAACGCTCCCTGACCTGCCCTACCCTCTGCTGGCCAGCGTGCGGCTGCCGTCCAACTTGCCCTGCACATTCACAGGTACCCAAGCCTAGCTGCTGCCTCGGTGCCCTGGCTGCATCAGCGTTCGCGCAGCTTCTCGGAGCAGGCCGGTATCCGAGCAGTCTCACTCCGTCTGTTTTGTACCAACACTTCACGCCTGCCGTCTGAGACCACCGTGACGAACGAGGGAATTTTGACGTTCGCAAAATCGTGAATCCGATTGGATGAGTGCGTTGGTCCTTGAGGCCATCTGCATGCTGCACTGAGAGGTGCAGCTCAAAGGTTTGCCCGCTGGTCAGCTAGCCGCATGTGCATGACGCTACTTGACGAGGTTTGAGTTCGCCACTGCGACCAGTACAGATTGACCGCTCGGAGCAGACAAGCGGCTGTACTGCAGCTTGAGGCAGCAATTTCCAACCCCGACGCCTAGTTTCCGTAAGGTGCTTCAGAGCCACAACGGCCCACGCTGCGTCGACGATCGGTCTGTCG